ATGAAAGGGCTTGTTTTGAAACAAAAAACAAGCCAAGATAATAGAATATAAGATTAGCAACGAAAGAAATATTCTCAAACGGTAACCAACCCGAAAAAATTTAATAGGTCCCTCTCAACCTCAACACACAGAGACAAAAACTTTATTCGACCATCAAATGAAACAATAAGAGGCCACTAAACCGATATAAAGCAGGCGGAAACCTATAGCGCCGAAAAAATAGGAAAATAAAAAAATTCAAAAAAATTTAGGAGGACTTATAAAAAGTTATTAAGCCAACTCAACACACAGACGCACACACACAGAGAGAGAGAGACACTCACAAACACACACACACACAGAGAGAGAGAGAGAAAAAAAAAGAGAGAGAGAGAGAGAGAGAGAGAAACTTCGTTATTCGCCCGTCAAATGAAACCATATGAGGCCACTGAGCCAATATAAAATAGGCCGAAATCTATTAAGCCGAAAAACTAGGAAAATAAAAATAAAAAAGCCGAAAACATTTACGACTACTCACAAATGATTAGGTCCCTCTTACCCTCAAAACACACACACACACAGAACAACGCTGGTCAAACGACGCAACATGAGGCCACTATGCCAATATAAAACAGGACAAAACCTCTCAAGGCGAAAAAGAACAAAAACTGATATTTTAACAAATCGAGTCGGCAAAATTAGAAACGATAAGAAAAGAAATTTTCGAACAGGACAGATATTTAAAAGCCAACAAGCACAAAATATATCAACAGCGGTCAAATTGTTGCCTAGAGGTTTCCAGGAAATAAGTCCAGATGAAAAGGTCCGGTGAAAAAAGTTTTTTACGGCTAAAAAAAGTCTAGTACCCAATTGCAAAACACTTGCTTATCCCCAAGGTAAAAAAACTGAATCTAGAAAAAAAGAGAGTTCGTGAAAGTGGATCTAAGCCGACAATACTAAACAGACGGACGATAGTCCGAAAAAAACCGAACGCTTCTAGCCTTAAAACATAGGCCCCTGCCCGGATTAAAAATGCTGGCCTTTGTCTTCAAGCTTATGTGTTACCTCTACACCAGAGATGGCCTGGACCGTAGATTAAATAAGAGTTTACTATAAAGCAATTTGAAACAATAGAAAAAGCAATAGAAAAAGCATTAAAAAAATTAAAACATCCGGCAACTAAGCCGACAAAAATTGATACAAAATCCATGAAACCGAGTAAAAATTCATGAAATCAATTTAATTCTGAAAAAAATCCCAGCAACAAACATTGTGCCCTAGTTAAATTAGAATTTTTTCATGAAATAGCATGTCAGCAGCATATCAGCATAGTCAGCAACGTAGCAGCAATTGATTCACAACCCGAAAAAAATCTATATTCCGATTTGATCATGCTTGCTTGCTATTCGCAAGCGCATAAATCGAAAAATTTTGATCGCCGTTTCTTTTTTCATCATTCAACTTCAGTATTTAGTAGAAAAAATATAACGTGTTAAAGCTCGTTGATTGTCGAGAAATTTTTAAAGCCAGTTTTAACTAGCAAACAAAACACCGGAGCAGAACTCCTTTCAGCCGAAAACAAAAAACTAATTAGAAGTTTTTGAGTCCCCTCTGCTTCAAAACTTGAATATGTATACAAAAAAAATTTCGCTCATCAAAAAACACTATGAGACCAACAGGCGGATATAACATAAGCTGGAACCTATCAAACAAAAAAATAGAAAGTTAGGTGGATATAACATAAGCCGGAACCTAACAAGCAAAAAATAGAGAAGTAGAGAACCAATATAGAAAGCAGAATTTGAAAAAAAAATTGTTATTTAAAATGCAGTTATAATCAAAAATTTTCTGTTGGTTGAAAAAAGTACAGATTTTGAGATCACCATTAATTAAAGTCATCATGTGACACAAAGTTCTTTACGATAGAAACTCTAGTACCCGGTTGCAACACACTTGTTATCGCAAGTGTAATGATTGACATTTTTCTTTATAACAAACCCATTAGAAAAAACTGCATCAATGCTTCGTTTTTTTCAGCAGGAAATTCTGCCAATTTAAATCTTTCGAAACTTGATGAAGCCATCATCTTCAAAACTTGGCTTCCTTTAAGCAACTTAATTTCAATTAAGCTTTAAAATAAAAATTCAAACTGCGATACACCCAATTCAAGCGTGATCAATTAACACGACTATCTCCTGAAAAATACGACAACCCATTTCTTTCATCACACTTAAAAACTCACTTCGTTAATTATTATTTAGAAAAAATCTATTTCCCAATCGTAAGAGACTTGTTGCTCGCGCACGTGTTATAACATCGAGATTTGACTAATCAATTGATCTAGAGGGTTCAAATGTGCATTTAAACTTTGCTACATTCATTTTGTGAACTAGTTTTTGGCGGCCCTACAAATATGAAAACAAAATTTTTGATACGTTTTGAATTAACACTTCCACATTGGATCCAAATAATTTGTTCAAGAATCTCAAAAGGTGCTGCATTGACCTGACATGTATATGGAAAATGTTAAGCAACTGCATTTATTCAATTTACCAAGAATCATTATGAAAACATGAGTTCAGGTCTTGGTCTTGGTAGGCTTTTCGACCCACAAGGCCATGCCGGGGCAGTTTCAAAGCTTTTGTTTTCACATCTTTTACAATGTCGAGCGTAATTGGTCGCCGACTGGCTGACGTTACATATGTCGCAGATCTTTCGTGCGCCCCTGGTATTTCCTTCTTTTTCCCTTGGCCGGGAGCTTTGTTGAGGTCTCGCTCTGCATGTTCTTCGATGCCTCGCCAGATTACCTTTCGACTGTGGGCGTTTGCAGTGTGGGCAAGTACCCGATATCGAACCTTCGCACTGATTGTTGTGATTTCTTTGTGCAGTTACTGTTGCATAACATGCTCCGCATTTCTCGCACACACTATTCTCCACTCTATCTCTTCTATGTTTTCTGGTCCTGTGAATTTTTAAGCCCGTTTTTGATCGACATTTCTGATTGCATATGTTGCAGCTGAGGCTCGTTGTATCTTCGAATTGGCTTCTCAGAGAGACCTCTTTCCGGTCAGCATGTTCTTCCTCCCATGCCTCAAGGGTATCTCTCTCTGACTTCCACAATTTTTCGGTACTTTTTTCAGTCTTTCACTACTTCCTCCGCTAAATCTGGGTCCACGATCGCTTCTTTCATAAATTTTCTACAGTAGCTGATGGCTGTTTGCCTCTGCTTTTGTGGTGGACTTCTATTTCTTTGCCGCCGGGCCACCCTAAAACTAATTGTTTTGTTAGCAGTGTGTTATCCATTAGCAACACGTGTCCGATTCTCCGTAGGGTCCTGTTTTCAATCTTCATTCTGCTGCTGTGAACTTTCAGACTTTTTCTTACTCCGTACATGTTCAAGTGTTCTTCGGCCATTTGTTTTAGCGGTTCTTTCTGTTTATTGCTCCAAATGTGTCTGTAAAGCTTGTCAGCCTCTTTTTTGTAGTTTGTGGACTTTGGAGTTGTCCCAAGGGCGTATCGCACAGTCGAATAGCCCCGCAGCTTCCACTGTGGCTTCTACAATTTTGGCTTGTACACTTTTTGGTAGCTTCGAGTGTTTCAGCTAACTCCTTACACTGAATGATGCTTTTCTCATTCGTTCCACCATTTTATTAGTGTCCGTTTCCCTGTTGCAGTACGATCCTAGATTACGTATCTCGTTTTCTTCTCCAAAGCTTAAGTTTTCTTCTTTGTCTGGGTGGCATGTTTTTTCGACCCGTTCCATGATTCCCATTATTTTTTTATCTTGCCTGTGTGTATTTCCGATTCTCTTCCGACGATGGTGATGTCGTCCGCGAACATAACGTCCGTTATGTTTAGCTTAGCCGTCGCTGAGTTTGCACTCAGCCCGTTTTGTATCTTGAGGTGGATACGAGTTTCCAGGTGTCCACTGCCAAGGTACTCCGATCTCTCCTTGCTTATCTTTCTTGCGTTCAGCGTTTGCTAACTCCATTGTTCTTGCATGGTAGATATTTAAAAAAACCGGGGATGTGGCATCCCCCTCCCTGAGGCCTCTCCGGGGTTTCCAGCTTGATTGTTGATGATTCTCGTTGATTGTCGAGAAATTTTTAAAGCCAGTTTCAACTAGCAAATAAAAACACCAGGGCAGAAATCCTTTAAGTCGAAAAGAAAAACTTATTAAAAGTTTTTGAGTCCCCCTCTGCTTCAAAACATGAAAATGTATACAAAAAATTCTCTCGCTCATCAAAAAACACAATATGATGCCAATATGCGGATATAACATAAGCAGCAACCTTATCAAGCAAAAAAATAGAGAAATTAGGTGGATATAACATAAGCCGGGTCCTAACAAGCAAAAAATATTTAGAAGTAGAGAACCAATATAGAAAGCAGAATTTGAAAAAAAAAATTGTCATTTAAAATGCAGTTATAATCAAAAATTTTCTGTTGGTTGAAAAAAGTACAGATTTTGAGATCACCATTAATTTAAGTCATCATGTGACACAAAGTTCTTTACGATAGAAACTCTAGTACCCGGTTGCAACACACTTGTTATCGCAAGTGTAATGATTGACATTTTTCTTTATAACAAACCCATTAGAAAAAACTGCATCAATGCTTCGTTTTTTCAGCAGGAAATTCTGCCAATTTAAAACTCTTTCAAAACTTGATGAAGTCATCATCTTCAAAACTTGGCTTCCTTTGAGAAAAGTAATTTCAATTGAGCTTAAAAATCAAAATTCAAACCGCGATACACCCAATTCAAGCGTGATCAAATAACACGACTATCTCCTGAAAAATACGACAACCCATTTCTTTCATCACACTTAAAAACTCACTTCGTTAATTATCATTTAGAAAAAATATATTTCCCAATCGTAAGAGACTTGTTGCTCGCGCACGTGTTATAACATCGAGATTCGACTAATCAATTGATCTAGAGGGTTCAAATGTGCATTTAAACTTTGCTACATTCATTTTGTGAACTAGTTTTTGGAGGCCCTACAAAAATGAAAACAAAATTTTTGATACGTTTTGAATTAACATTTCCACATTGGATCCAAATAATTAGTTCAAGAACCTCAAAAGGTGCTGCATTGACCTGACACGTATATGGAAACTGCTCAGTAACTGCTTTTTATTATTTTACCTAGAATCATTATGAAACCATGGTTCTAGGAAACACATTAATCGTCTCAAAAAAATTAGGTCAAATTTTAAAAAGCAGTAACTTCGGTCACAATTAAGATCAGTTCAAATCAGTTCGTTTCCTCATCTTCATCATCATCGTCACTTAAATCAAGGTCATCAAGCTGATTTAACTCCTGAGCAAACAAGTCTTCGTCAATTTCCATAGTCGCTCCGTTACTAGAACTTGTTCCTGGTTGTTCATCCGCTGGTAATGAAACCGCCGGATTGTAACTTGAAGGTGAGCCAGCACCATTAGCCGTCTTTGAGCTGCTGGCTTTATCAGACTTGCCATTTTCAGTTTTGCCGTTCATTTCAGGTTTCGCATCCTTTTGGCTTTTTGAAGCCTTCTCGCCTGCGAGTTGCTTGGCCAGCTCTGCCTCGTTCTCTTCAATAATCTGCATCGAAAACTCCTCGAGATTAATTTCCCTGACCGGGCCCGAAGCTCCATCAGCGCCATCTTCGCGCTTGTAATCAAATACCTGTCCGTCGCCTCCCGCTTCGTCGTCCTTGTACCCCTGCTCTTGTGATGATTGAAAAGTAAACATTTCGCGCCCGCTCAGACCTTGCGTCTTGTCTTTTTTGAAATCCGCCTGTTTCTTGGCAGTTTCTGTAACTTGCTTCTCGGCGCGTTCCTTAAGTTTCTTTTTCTTCCAGATCAAAAATGTTTCCAGAGTTATTTTCGTTGTGTCTGAAATCATAGCACGCTCTTTCTCAATTAAATCTTCCAGAGATATCTGATTTTCTTCCTCGTCTTCATCCTTCTTCTGGTTTTTCAAAACGTAACCCTCCGGTAATGCGTGTCTATACTTGCACTGATTTCCTCCATTTGGGCATTGCCAAAACCATCCGTATAGCTTCTTTTCAACAGCTTCTAAGAAATGTTTGCAAACGATATCAGTTTTACTTGGATCATCACTGGCTAAAAATGTTTCAGGTTGCAGTGGACCCAATTGCGCGTCTCGTTTATCTTCATAAATATTGATCTTCTGTGTCTTTCTGTTCACGTTCAAATCATGAGAAAATTTACACTTATCTCCTTTTGTGCACTTAGCTTTCTTAAACATTTCACATACTATGGACTTTGGGTCAACGCCTTTGGGCGCGGTTTGCTCGACTGATTTGAAAAGTTCGTTCAATTCATCGAGTTCTTTCTGTTTGCGGTCCTTTTCTTTCTTCTTTTGTAGCTCTAAGTCTTTCTCTTTCGACGTCGACTGTTGTTTCACTTGACTTTGCACCTAAAAAATTCCTTGTAAAATTACTATCAAAACGTTCAGATAATCGCAACTCGTTTTAGAAATTCGGATATCTACATCAATTCCAAGATAGATGCAGTCCAGCAAGATGCAGTTCATTGAAAAATAGAAAAATAGTTGTTGCAAACTTATTAATTTAACAAAAGCTTTTGATACTATGAACCACGCGATGACAATGCACCTGCTTCGAAAATGCTTAATTTCCGGATTGAGAGAAAAATCGTTACTTTAAAATCTTATCTAGATAACCGCTACTAATATGCTCAAATAAACCAAGGAAAGAGTACTCCAAGGAAAACCAAGGAAAAAAAGTGTGGAGTCCCTCAGTGATCACTTCTAGATTTACTTTTATTTCGATCTTTGATCTCTAATTATACTACCGGATGGGCCGGTTAAACGTTGTATTTTCTTTAACAAAATGATAAATCCTAGTTTGACCATCTTATTGTAAAGTAATAAGAGTCAAACTAGGCTATATCATTTTGTTCAAGAGAACACAACGCCCAGCAAAAAATTAGGTAATCTTGTTCTTAAACTTACAGACTAATACTTACAAGTATAGATAACATACAATGTAAAGGGTTAAAATGCGCACTTTAACTTCGCTGTATTCATTTTGTGAAGTAGTTTTGGCGGCCGTACAAAAATTAAAACAAAATTTTTATACGTTTTGAAGTAGCATTTCCTCATTGGATCCAAATAATTAATTCAAGAAACTCAAAAGGTGCTGCATCGACCCTACACATATATGAAAACTGTTCAGCAACTGCTTTTTTTCAATTTACTACGAATAATTTCATAACCATGGTTCAAGGAAGCACATTAATCATTTCAAAAAGAAATGAGTGAAAATTTAAAAGAGAGTAACTTCGATCACAATTTAGATCAATTCAAATCAGCTCGTTTCTTCATCTTCGTCATCCTCGTAACTTAAATCAAGATTTAGAGCAGTATTATAAGGATTAGAGCAGTCGGATTAGAATGCACAAAAAGACGATCTTATTCATAAACTTAGAGACCTATACCTACAACTATACATAACATACAAGTATAGATGTGAACAATTTCTTAACATCAAAAGAAATAAGTAAGCACCTTCTCAGTGAAATACGGATTAGAACATAACCAGCAAGATCTATATTCAATAACAATAACAAAACAAGTGAGCAAGTTAGACTTCTTTTCATTACAATAGTCAATAGACAAAATCATTTTGTTAAAGATAGTACAATGTCCAGTAAAAACATTGCAGTCTTGCTCATAAACTTAGAGACCAATCACTGCAACATTTATGGTAAGAATTTGATTGACCTTTTTTTATGGAAAATAACTTATTTATTTCATGATAAGAAAAAAAATGATAGTCTGTCTTTATGATTTTGATCTACATCGTTTTTTTCCAATTCAGCAAAAACGGTTTTTTTTGTGAATTTTAGGGTTCAACTGAATTTAAGCAAAAATTTGGATTTTGCTCTCAGAAAATTTCCAAATTGCTCTGAGGATGATCAGGCGTATAGCTCTACGATGACCATTCGAATCGGCGCCACCAAACCAACATTGTTGATTTATAATGAGTAAGTTCTGTGATGTACTCGGTTCGTAAACGAAATTATTCACATATATTATACGTAAGCGAAACTTAACATAAAGACAGGGGATACAAAAACATAGAAAGCCAAACTTTTTGACAAAAAATAATACGAAAGCCGCTAAGTGTGAAATCTTTTTAAATGTCAGAAAATAATTTTTACGAAAACTTTCAGTCGACTTGTCCAAAAAGTGAAAACTGAAATTATGCTCATGCGGAGTTGGCAAAAATACAACATAAACAAATTGTGAGTTCAATGGGTATCCTAAACACATACATGCTCTAAATCTGTCTAATGGATGACGAAAACAAAATTGTATTACATTAAACTCTTGTTCCTCTTTGGTAATTTGACTGACCTGTTGAATGAACTTCTGCTGTTTCGCCCCTTTTTTATTCTTCAGTCCAAATGTCTTGTCCTCTATCACCTTCTCCTTCTGCTTGTTTTCTGTCTTTTTGCTAGGCTGGTTTTTCGGAGGCATGGTTAATCTGGAAAAATCAGACATGCCAAAAAGCTCTTAAGCTCAAAAATTAAACAATCGCGCGTGGTATAGTTACAACCCTACAAAACAGCGCATAATACAATTTTAGGAAAAAAACTACTTTGCCTCGAGCAAGATAACTAAATTTGTGGGTCGAGCAAAACCGGTTTGAAAGATTGCCTTCTCGTCAGTTTGGAGCGAAATGAACAGCTTTTAATAAAGATATGAACACCTCGCTCTCAGCTGTGGAACAGTAGTTTTTAAAGCTTTTAAAGCTCCATTGCCGCTTTCCCAGCTTCAAGAAAGGCAAAAAATGAATCCGAAAAAAGTTTATCTGTGCAAATCACGCACAAAAAAGTTGTGCTGTATTTAATAGGTGGCAGAAGTCTCTACAAAAGTCTTTACAAAAAATAAACAGTTCCACCGCGGGAATCGCACCTAAGCGTAAACAATCTTACACTTGAACATAACCTCCACACAAGTGAATCAAAATTGATCTAATTTATTTATCTGATCACTAACAGAAACGGTGGGTCTTTTCTGTTATACGGCCCAAAATTGCCAAACTGTTATTTTGTTTTGACTAGAAAACATGATTTTTCTTTCGCATGAATTAATTTCAACTAATCAGATTTGATAATTCTTGTCCAACTAGGGGCCCAGATAAAGCTGAAGGTTAATGTTTGATAATTATGAATTTGTTGTAGTGATGCGGGATGGAATGGGTAATTCCAAAAACTGTGCTTCACCCAAAACTATAAGAGTATAAAGGAGTAAACGTTTTGAGAATATGGAATTTTCCCAAAATAAAAACATTTTCCGTACAAACTTAGAGGCCCAGCCGCTTATACACGGAGGCTTCCTTTAACTTGTATCCTCGACGAAACCATTGATATCACATTCGGCTGAGTAGTTTTCGAGAAAAAAAAACTTAAATAAACGGAAAATAAATCAAAACTTTTCTGAGGGCCATAATTTTTTAATGGAAAATTTGGACGTCACCGCTTTAAGCGGGTAGCTAAATTCAAATTTTTCTTTTGATGAACCCAAAATCTCATATTTGGGATAGTAGTTTTCGACAAAAGACAAAAAATTTGATAAAACGGTCAAAAAGTTTGGGCTTAATTGCTAAAGCACGGATTTAGTAAAGTTGGTTTCGAGACAAGTCAAAAAGTTTCAAAATTTGACTTTTCCGAGGGCCATAACTTTTCGTGTAGAAATACTGGGCGTAGCCACATATGCAGGGGAGCTTCCCACAGCCTGTTTCTTTCGACTGAATTTAAAATCTCAGATTTGAGAGGGTATTTTTTGAGACAAGAAGAAAAATGGTTTTTACGAGGACCCTAAATTTTTGTTGAAAATAAATTCGGCTTAATTGTTAATGCAGGGGAGCTTTCCACAACTCGTTTTTAACAGTGAACGAAAAAACTCAGATTTGGAAGTGACTTTTCGATAAAAGCCAAAAATTTGAAAAAAAAAAACGGTCAAATTATCAAAATTCGAGGGCCATCGCTAACTTTTCGCGTAAAAAAAACTGGGTGTAGCCGCATATGCAGGTGAGCAGGGGCGGATTTGAGGGAGGCGGGCGTACGCCAAACCCCTCCCTCAGGGATTCGACCCCCTGCCGACCAAAAGGGTCACCCTTTGGTTCTTTTTAAGAGACCAATTTTTTGCAGGTGGACCCTTAAATTTTTATCAAGGCGCCAATATATACTATTTACGAGAGAGGAAAGTGCGCCGAAAAAACGCAGTTTTTTTGGTCAAAATTTGAATATTTTTTAAATCCAAATACGGTCATCTAGTGTTCTGGGAGCTAATTTTTGCGAAAACCCTCCCCCTTCACCCTCGAGAAAATCCTAGATCTTAACTTTTTGTCTAAAACTTTTGTGTTTATTTGGGGGAGCCTCCCACAACCCATCTTTTTGATTGGAGTCGAAATCTCAGATTTGGGAGTGCTAGTTTTCGAGAAAATTAAAAAATCTTTAAATTTAGGTCAAATATTCTCCCACAGACTGTTTGAAAATCGGTAGAGTAGTTTTTTGAGAATAACTAAGTATTTTGAGAAAAGCCAAAATTTTTTTCAAAGCGTCTCAAAAATAATAATAATAAAAAATCCGATCCCATACAATTTCATATCTGTTATTTATCAAACAGGAATTATCTCAACAACGAAAAGACCAGTAACAACTACAAAACAGATCATTAATAGAAAATACCCGATACTGTCATCACTCACTATCAATTCACTACTACAGTAAATCACTATAACAAAAATCACATCTCTTCTTAGATTTCATTTCGGAATACATTGAGAAGATGTCGCAGTCAGTTAGGAGCAAACCTTTCGAATATATCGGCCAACCCCACGTTTCTTTCAGGCGTTCTAGCAAATAGACTGTTTCAAAACTGAACCTTTGGCTCATGTATAAAATATCAAAATCAAAGATGATAACTTTGATATTTCTTGACGCAAAAAGACTTTCATTATCGTTAAGCCAATGTACAACTTCACATTCAAAATCCTCTGACTCTTTCGAAGACATGCTTACAGAACCTTTTAAAAGTAAGTCCACGACTTGTAATTGTTGCTGTTTTTCAATCATTTGGGCAATGATTTTCAAGTACTTCGAGTAATTCTTCTTCTTCATTTTTCCGGATGAAGCAATTCTCACGGCCTTCAAGTCGACCAAACTAATTTCATCAATAACACTGATATCTGTCAATTCAGGAGATTCACAGATTCTGATAGATAGATAAGGGAATTGGTTCCGATTCAAATTAACACAGTTCGACAGAACTTGAAAGTCCAATTCTATGCTTTGACAAGAGCGGGGTAATTTATCCAAACCCAAATTTTGGGGTTTCTGGGACAGTTTTTTGGAGTGAACGATAACTGAAAACAAGTTAGGAAAGAGACTGGCAATAAACTCACCAAAATTTTCAGACGTGTCTTCTTGATTTCGCAACCTTAACACTTTTAGATTCGGTAACGCAAACGAAACTTTTTTCTGTGGAATCATCAAAGTATTTATTGATAAATAGCACAGAAACTGCATATGACGTAAGGCCCCAATTTGCATTAGGCTACAAAAATCTCCTTTGATACTTTTCAGAAAAACCAAAGGCTGCAAAACTTCTAACAAATCGAAAGAACAGTCGAAGTAAAAAGTAGTATCTGCTACATGCACGGTTTTTGCTAATTCTTTAAGGATTATCTTCACTAGCCTGATATTCCCACAGTCAACACTGAATTCGACTTTATTGTTGAAAGATGCCAATTTTTGAGATACTTGAATGACAAGATCCAAATAAGATTCATCCTCACGGCGACTCGGTTCACATGCATCTTGTATATTTAATTCCAACAAAACCATTTTTAAATGAGCTCGAAAATAATTTTCCAGGTCATTTAAAATCCTTAAGAAATCTTCAACAGCTTCATGAGACCCGTAAAATTCAAAATTGGTACTGATTTCCAGCCTCAGCTTCGTAATTTTCCATTGGGGATGGGCTTTCATTAAAGAAACTAGCTTTCCATGGTCTGAACGAAACACGTTGTACGCATCAAAAAAAATTGGATTTCCATCTGTTAAGATAACCGATATTTCTAGCTTTAAGGCCATTTGCTTGATAAGTGTGTTCCATTTGGCACAGGTAAGCTTCAAAGCGCAAATATCCTTTAATTCCGAAGCAACTTTGGGAGGGCGACTTGAAGACAGAAGCTGGCATATGTACTGCAAAATATGGACTGGAAGGTCTAAAAATGTCAAGGCGCTCATTTGATCAGAAAGCAAAACCAACCTGAAACCATCTTCCAAATCGGTATGTCAATATTTAACCCACGCCTTGCAGGCAATTCGTAGCTACTGAGCTCTATGAAAACTGATCTCTATGAACTCATCGCCAATAGCTTAATTGATGTAATAAATTTTTTTTTATTGTCTTAACTTATAAGAACTTTTGAGACCAACCAAATCATAACTGATGCATCACTGGTTGAGGCTTATTAAATTGAGGAACCCGGGAAAAACACCGGAATACGAAGTTCCTTCAAGTTAAGTGGTCAGAAAAAGAAATTCATTTGCCAGAACTTCACTAGCTGGATGGACTGCCAGATGATTGATGGCTGGCTGAGATGAGAGGATCAATGGATGGACGTATAGATTGTAGGAAGAGTGAAGGGCTAGATGGATGGATGGCTGGTCGGATGGCTAGATGAATGAATGGCTGTTTGGATAGATCAATCCATTGGATAGTTAAATGGCTGGACGGACGGGTGAATAGATGAATTATGGCTGTTTGAATGGAAAGCCGGTTGAGTGGATGCATGGGAGTACGGAGAGGGTCTGGTTGGATGGATGGATGACTAGGGAGATGGATGACATGATGGATGGATGGGTAGATGGATGGCTTGATGGGTGGTTAGCTAGACGAATGGATGGCTGGATGAATGAGCCAATTGATGGATGATTGGTTTGATGGCTGGGTAAATTGCAGGTTGAACTGATGGCCAAAATCTGAATGGCTGGTTAATGGATAGATAGATGGTTCGCTTGATGAATGAAAGGCTTGATAGGTGGATGGCTGAAAATATAGTTGTATCGATGCCTAGATCGATAGATGGCTTGATGGTCGGATGCTAGGATTTATGGATGCCTTAGAGAATAGATGGATTGTTAGATTGATGGATGAAGGGATGGCTAGATAGCTTGATGGATGGCTAGCTTGATGGATGGATGGATGTATGGATGGCTAGATTTGTCGCCCGGGTAACGAATGATTGGATTAATGGCTGGTTCAATTGATCGCTGGTTCGTCATATGGATGGATGGATGGTTGGATTGAAAGATGGATGAATCGCTTGATGAATGAAAAGCTTCATTGATGGATGGAGAGCTGGATATATCATTGCATGGATGGCTCGATGTATGGATCTTTGGATTGATGAATGGCTTGATGAATAGATGGTCGCATCGATGGATGGATACATGGACAACTAGAAG